AGCTCGTCGCTGTGAGCCTTATACATGCATACGTACATACATACATACATACATACATACTTACTTACTTACTTACTTCATACACACATACATATGCACATATACAGACAAAACACATATGCACATGCATATACATATACATACACACATACACATACACATACATATACATATATGTATACATATGCATACACACCTACATATACACAAACAAGTGTGCATACATACATACATACATACATACATACATACATACGTACATACGTACATACATATATATATATAAATAGACAAGGCGTGAAGAAAATTCGCAACACTTTTGTCGGGTATATGATCATTTAGCATGTGGCTGGCTCTAGGGTTCTATGTACACTCTGACTTGCAACGTAGGGTGCGATGATGTTGTCTAAAGCGCTTATAGGGTGTATGGTGTTGGTCCTGGGCCGGCTGCTATGTTGTTGGGCCTGGGTTAGCCCCCTCGGTCTTCAGATACTTCTTTAGGGGTAGGGGCTTCCTACAGATTTTGCAGGCTTGCAGGGTGTGATAGTGAGGTCTTGAGCTCGCTCCCGGATTTTTATACATGATAATTTGGCGCGAATGCTGGTAAGCTGTGATAAGACACTCTAAGGATACGGTTCTGTAAGGTTCCGTAGAGCATGACACGGTTGATATAGGGTATACGTACGATAAGGTCATCTCCAGAGCTGGCGCTATGGAGTTTCCAGGGCTTAGGATTCAAAACTTCATTGCTTCTGCGGAATCGATCTTTTGGAGTTGGGGTTTAGGGCTGTCGGATTTTGTGTTTGTCTTGAGGTCTTCGGGGCTTCAGGGATTTGGGGCTCTAAGGCTTTGGGGGTAGGGGGATTTCAGGCGTCGGACTGAGCTCCCTTAGCGGCTTGGCGGGAGAAAGGAGCCCTGACTGGAGACATAGGGTGTTCAGAAGGCTTTCACAAGGGTGTCGTCAGGATGTAGGGCTTGGGGGAACTTAAGGTTCAAGACATGGTGTCATAAGGGTGTCGTAAGGATGAAGGGCTTGGGGGAACTTTAAGGTTCAAGACATAGCGCTCTTGGCTTTTTGTTTCCCTCCCACTTAGTCAGGACGAGCCCGCATTGCAGAGTAGGCTATTGGGTCGGCTTCAGGCTCTCGGGTGGGTTTAGGGTTTAGGGTTTAGGGTTTAGGGAAGGCTCTAGGACGATGGGGCTTCGGGTTTAGCCAGAAGCACTCTCGGCTTCCTCACTTCGTCACCCCGGCCCATGCCTACTACCGGCGCCTGGGGTTTGGGGGACCTTTGATCTATTAGAGTGCAGTTCTAAAAAGGGAAACCCTGAAAACTAACATTGTTGGTGACTTCTGCACATTAGATCCAAGATTCTGCTGCTGCGCCTGCGGCAGCCCGATCATCATCCTGAAGGGCGCCTGCTACATGGGTAGTTCTCATTTTAGGGTCTGTTTTTAGGTCCCCAATATAGTACGGCACCCTTATGAAAAGGACCCTAAAAGGGATCCTAATTTAGAAAACTACCTACATTGTCTGACATGTTAGGTCTGTCGGCCTGAGCACACTCGGACAATGCAGTTTCAGGGTTTAGGGCTCAGGGTTTAGGGGTGTAGGGCCACGGTCTAGGGCCCTAAACCCTAAACCCTAAACCCTAAACCCTAAACCCTAAACCCTAAACCCTAAACCCTAAACCCTAAACCTATGGGGGGCAACTTAGAGGGTTTATGTGGGGGAGCTATGCCAGGCCTCCGTCCCAAACCTGCATCTTACCCTGTGCCCTAAACCTGAAATCCTAAACCCTTGGGATGCAGGGTTGGCGAGGTAGGGAAGGCATGATGCAAGTATCAAAACAGACGAATCCCTTTCAAACAGCCGTGCTACATGGGAGCTTCGAAAAAGTAGCAGCAGGAGTCCAGCTGTAAGGGCCAAAGAAGCCCCTAAATTGCCAACCCAACAATATCGACCCTGGAGTGCACTATGCTGTCGAACAAACTCTAAACCGACACAGAGGCTCGTTAAACGTTAAACTTTAAACTTCGACATTAGCCCCATCTTGCATCCAGGCTTATTGCGACTGCGGGCTAACCCAGAAGACAATACCACCTAAACCCCCTATGAACCATCATAGCGCCATTGATAACACAAAAACGCAAAAAAACGCCCTAAACCCGTAACCCAAAAATCCCAAAAAATCAGAAAAAAAAACAAAAAAAATCAAAAAATCAAAAACAAAAAAGCCGCCGCCTTGTCGCGGCCGGCAAAGGCCCCAGCGCCCTCGAGGCCCATGGCCTGCAGGCCACCGGCCAAGTTCATGCCGATCATGGCCTGCTCGGATTTCTTGGGGCTTAAGGGCCTCAAGGTTTCAGGGTTTAGGGCTTTAGGGCTTTAGGGTTTAGGGTTTAGGGTTTAGGGTTTAGGGCTTTAGGGCTTTAGAGTTGGCTTTAGGCTTTCAGGGTTTCGACTCTCACGCTTGCACGGGGCAGGCAAGGATCGGGCTTCAAAATTGGGGGTGGAGTTTCTTTGGCTTCCGGCGCTCACACTCGGACGAGGCAGATGTGGGCGTTTTAACAAAAGACAGTGCATGCTCCCTTGGCCAGCTCATCCTAAAGGGTTCGATTCCACGATTGCCAGCTCATACCTGTTTCCAGTGCAGCGATCCCCAACTTTTGTGTCTAGACCAAGTGCACTTTGCAGTGGCTTCATGTTGAGCGATGTTGACTTGGGCTAATGCGTGTTTCTAAAGTTTTCTGGCAGGGTGTATCTAGTGTTTAGGGTTTAGATTTAGCATGCATATGGATCATGACCTTTTGGGGTCTTGTCCCACCTGCTCACGTGACTAGGTCGCGCTGCGAGGGAACGCAATAGTGAAGGGGCAAGGGCACCACATCACCACGCTCCCCTCCTACAGACAGCCGACAGATACCTCCCAGCACACCGTCAAGGAGTGTTATTTATGGGGTTGTGATAGTTGGCTTGGCAAGGTCAGGTCGGACATACTGCGAAAAAAGTCCCTACAAGGGCACCGAAGCCTTACCGAAGCTTTATGCAGCGGTCTGGATGGAGTTCTACTGGGCTTCACAAACTCTAGCCCTAACCCTAAAGAATAAAACACAAAACCCAAACCGTAACCCTCAAACATCCTCCAGTCGGTCAAGCTCGAGACTTGATAGCCACTCGGTAGAATGGCTCCGGGATGCAGATGACTAGCAATCGGAATCCCCGAACCCTAAACGGGTCATCGACTACGAACCGCCAGGTCACCTGGAGATCCTGATGCTCGCGGCATGAAAGCAGCTGCTCCCCCTGTTGCCTTGATTTAGGCCCGGGCCCAGGTCTTTCTGCGGGCTTCCATTGCAGGGCGGTTTGCCTTTTTTCCCTCTCTTGGTACACTTCGCGATTTGTGGGCTTTTGCCTCTTGGGGTGGAGGGTTCGGTGGGGCGCACAGTGTTGGGGCTTGATCTGGGTCTCGGGGTTGGCTCTAGCTTTCGGACCTTCTGGGCTCTAGCTGGATCTTAGATCAGTCTGTCTGTGCGGGAGTCGTGGTCGATGTTGTCCAAGCTTAGGACGGGGTTACCCTAAGCTGCCGAAGTCTTGTGCCGCACCTACTTGAAAGCATCGCGTCAAACCACACAGAACCAGCCTAAACCAACAAGAAACCCGCTTCCGAAGACCGAACCAATCTGTGACAGACACTGAATCCGGCTTCGTTTTTGGATGTCGGGGCTTGGATCCTAGAGCACCATAGTGCCATTTCCCTGCGAAACGCGAAAAGGCATTGGGAACTCCCACAAAGAAGACACTGATGGTTCTATATTGTGCTAGTTCCAGCTCCCATTGCTGTCTAGGGTTCAGGGCAGAATTTGGGGCTTAGGGAACTCACTTTAACCCGAACCCGGCCTGTTGGAAACAGAGAAGACGTCGAAGCAGTTAGCTGTCTGGATGGAATAGTTTAGCAAATGCCCCGTCGCCTCCTGCGGAAGGTCGGGGACTGTCCCATGAAACCGTCAGCCTCAGCCCAATCAGAAAACCCACCAAGCCCCAACACCAAGCCCCAAGCCGAAACCACGAGCTCATTCCGCAAAGGAACCAACGGCAACTCAAGTTCCTAGCCTTGGTAGGACGACAGAATGTGGGCCACCGCTCCGAGTTGCTTCTTGGCTTTTTACTCTCGTAGTACCACTGCCCAAACCACAACCGCTACTGCTGCTGCAAGGACTCGGACCTGTTCCTGCTACTGCCACGACTACTGCTTCTACGACCATCACCACTAAATCTTGCAGCGATGACGGAAGCCTGTCCTGGAGCATGTTGACGTGCTCCTTGATGATGATACCTAAACTGCAGTTTCGGTTGCTTTTTCGTGTTCGGGTTTAGTGTCTTTTGCCTCCTACTTCCGCATGGCAGGGCTTAGGTTCAAGGTTTAGAGTTTCAGCATTCACAACTGGGACAAGCCTGGCGACGATTCTGGTATGACGAAGCACTTTGGCCCCTCCACTAGCAGGCTACCTGCGCACATCCTGCCAGCTGCAACACCGCTTTAACGGATTTGTTGACACTCACACTCGGACAGAGCCTGGCAAGGTCTGTAGCGATACTAGTCAGGCGTTGAAACAAGAGAACTCACAGTAGCTTTCACTGAGAACTGAGTTCTAACCATAGACCCTAAACCCTAAACCCTATGTTGTCAGGCAAGGCTTGTCAAAATCGGATCAGGGTCTTTGGTTGTTGGGGTTCGTAGCCTTTTCACCGGCCTGATCTGAGCGTCTGGATTCCCTATACTTGTGATACCATAAAAGACGGGACGAGCTTGCCTGCCCGCTTAAGGATGTAGGCTCTAGGCTTAGGGTTTAGGGGTTTGGAGTTGAGGGTTGTAGGTTTAGCGGCTTTACACAATAAACTTCTGCAAGCATGCACACGGCATTAAGCCACAAACCCTAAAGCCGAGACCTTAAAACCTAAACCTTTAGACCTGTCAAAGATGCAATCTTCCTGTGCCAGACGCTGCATGCCATCCGACAGGGCGGAAGGAGGCTGCCTGTTCCTGTGCTACTACAGTATACGGGTGCTATCGGAGCCCCCCTGTCGGGCACTACAGGGATTACCAAAAGTGTAGCATGAGAGCACTTAAGGCAGGATAGCGGTACTAATAAGTGAACTATAATCAGGCTACTACAGTGTACAGGGTCTGCCTCTTCCTCTGTCGGTGCTATCAGCCATCCGTGCTTTTAGTTTGATAGAGAACCAGGTCCACACCCCCGTGGTTGCGCATGTGCGACTGTAGGGGGTCTGCGCTGGACTATTGAAATATAAGTGAAAATGTCAGTTCTTGAGCTGGTCGTAGGCAGGGGATCCTAAGGGTTGTTCGTGAAAGTAGCGAAAAGGTAGACAACATGAACTTAGCCATAACAGCCATTCCGGCAAATGATATGTAGACACCGTCCTGAACCCAACCGTCTGCTTCTCCGTCCTCGCGATCTGTAACCCAGGTACCTATAAACACGAGACTCGGGCCAATTTGTGGAACTCTAGACACCAAATCATGGCCTTAACCCCAACCCTGTTTCCCGCCTTGCACCCGCCGAATCCTAAAACACCTGTGGAACCCTAAATCCGTCCTTCCCAAAACCGAACCCCCAAACCCCTACAAACAACCCCATCCCAAACCCTTAAACCCTGACGGCAGAAACCCCTGAACCACTAAACCCCTAAAACCCGTGAACCCTAAACCCTAAACCGGCCCTAAAACCCCTAAAACCCCTAAACCCTAAACCCTAAACCTCAAACCCTAAACCCAAAACCCCTTATATAGGTCTCTATCTTATGCGCTCGGAGGGCAAGTGCTCGGGGTGCTGGAGCTTCAAGCTCTCCAGCTTCTCCCGCAGCTCCCGGGACTTCAGGTGGCCGCGGAGGAGGCAGCAGCAGGGGATCCTCGGGCTTCGGGCCCAGGGTCTTAGGGTTTAGGGTTTAGGGTTTATGGCTTAGGACTTAGGACTTAGGACTTAGGACTTAGGGTTGAGGGTTGAGGGTTTAGGGTTCGTGGTTCTACAAAAGTTCTAGGGCCCTAAATCCCCTTAGGGCAGCGGTTTTTTTTAAAGGGTTTTTCGGGCTGATTACCGGGGGGACGTACGGGTTTAGGGCTTCAGAACTTCAGGGTTTCCGGCTTACGGCGTTTATGGCTTGTGGGGTTAGGGCTTAGGGTTTAGGGGCTTAGGGTTTAGGGGCTTCGGGTTTAGGGGTTTAGGGGTTTAGGGGTTAGGGTTTAGGGTTTAGGGTTTATGGCGGTCGCCCTGGTGGCTTTCGAGGGACAGCGCACCTGAGAAAGCGAAGCAGAACATGCTTTCTCGGAGGTCTTGGATTTACTGGTAAGAAGTCGACTAGGCGGTTGCCATAAGATCTGTTTTGGAGATTTGGCACGGCAAGAACTTCCTTTACAGAAACCGAGGCGTTGAAGCTGCCTCTTGCGGCCCAACTCTTTAGAATAGGGTTTTTGGCCTGAGGTATATTATACTATAACTTATATTGGAAATAACTTAGGCTCCTGTATTATCAGGGCAACATTTTCCAGGTAAGAAAGCCCTCACAACCCAGAAACACTGTCTGGAAAGCCCCGCGGCGAGACCATTCCCATAATTGCACACGTCCAGACAGCGAAGAAGAGCGCGGCAAGGACGTGTGGGGAGTGGCTTGTTGCCATCGCATAGACCTGAGCCCATACACTCTCAACCTTAGAATCTTATAGAAGCCAGACCGCAAATCGCAGTCCGCTAGCGATTTCAATTCGCAATCCCAAATCGCTGTTTCTTTTCTCTTAAGGGACAGATCAACCTGCGAATCGCGCGATTTGAGTTTGATACAGTTTGTACGTGTCTGAGTTGTGTGATGTAAGGGCCCAACATGACCCCACACTCCCAAACCCAAAGGCGGGGACCAGATGCATGTAGATTCCCTGCCGAAATGCATTCGTGAGGCTTGTGACGATGGGGTTTGTGCCTGTACAAACCGCTGTGAAAGTTGTCTAATGTAAGAGCCCACATGGGTCCACAGTATTTACCCAAAGCCCGGCTAATCAAAGCAGGCGGTCTGCAAACATGCATGGGGTTGGAAACCCGGGGTTGCCTCCTGCATGCGACCTTGCACCCTTCCTGGCTTGGAACGAGCAGCCGCCCCCCATGCATTTGCGCGGCCTCGAAAAATGCATGCAGCGCTTTCCTCCCCCGCCGTGAAGACGCCCCTCATCTGGGTATCCACAGAGCCACAACCACACTTGTCCACTCTCCAGCGACCTCGCCACGCAGCGGAGTCGCTTTTAATCCCGACGAAATCGCCCGTCCTGGCAGGAGGAAGACTCGATGGAGCCAAGGCGCAGTTGGCAACGCTGCTTTGGAAGATTGCCGAGAGCAGCCGTGCATTTAGGCGTCTTCTCAACATGCAGTGAGTGTTTTCTCGCGGCCTTCCGATGGCTCTTTGGAACAATTCCCGCGAAGCTCGGAAGTGCGCCCTGCCCACACAACACAAAGCCCTGTGCATGTAGGCGGCCTGCAAAAATGCGAGTGAGCAGCCCCCAACCATCAAGGCGGTCTGCAAGAATGCATGGGGTGGCGGTGGCGGTGGCGGTGGCGGTGGCGGTGGCGGTGGCGGTGGCGGTGGCGGTGGGGGTGATGGTGGCGGTGGCGGCGGTGGCGGTGGTGGCGGTGGTGGTGCTGCTGCGGCTGCTGCTGCTGCTGGTCCTGCTGCAGATGCTGGTGGTGATGATGATCCGGATGATGATGCCGCTGACTGCTGCGATCCCCCAGGATGGTTGACAGTGGGTCAACTTTGAACAAGTAGGCAGAACAGAGTCAAAGGCTTCGGCTGCGCATTACGAGTTCCCTGTCTCTGACAGAATCAAAACACCTTCGCCCCTGTGCGCGGCCCTATACCTTAAGCTCTGTACCGTCTATACCCTATGCTTTCTCTAAACCCTATGCCCCAACCCCGACCCCGTAAACCCACTCTAGACCCCACCCCTAACCTAACCCCCAGGGAGCAAAACCTCACCCTAAAGCTTCAAGCCCGAAGACGCGACTGCGTCCCGACTGCAGCCGCTCCAGCATGGAGGAGCGCTCGGTCTTGGCCTTAAGCACGGAGGTTAGGTTATGTTATGCTAAACTCTACCGTAGCTCTTCCTTCTTATTGTAGATTGTAACCCTAAACCCTAAACCCTATAGATTGTACTGTTAACGAACTGGTAATTAACTACTGCGCCTTTTCGGTACTCTCTTTAGAAAAGTTTATAAGGGACCCTGAAGTTTCGTAAAGATTCCGCGTAAGGGCTTTACAAGGTTCTGCGAAACGGTGGATGCCTGCCTGCGGATCATATAAAGCAGATCTTGCTGGCTAGGTTCTTTATTAGGCGCTTTACATTCAAGAAAAAATCTCGCACGATACTGTCGGGTTGAAAGTTGAAGGTTTGGGATTGCTCAGTTTGAGTCCCGGGCTTCCTAAGGTTTTTAGCGAGTTCCGCGAGACTTGCTGAAAACGACCACGAAGATGCCAGGAGCGCCGGCTAACTGGCCATGGCTAGCCCAAACAGAACCCACCCCTTTCGCGCGACCGGGGAGGGAACGACTCGAACGAAGGTTCACGGGTTGTGTTTGCCTCTTTCCCACCTCTTTACCGTTAGCTTCAATTCCGTTTTCGGCATTCGGCGGCAACACAATACTAGTACTATCATATTTGTATTAGTACTATCATTCTTTTATGAGCACTGTCCTTATTTTTGCTATAATTAGAGCCGATTCGGGCCTGGGTCCAGCTGCAAGGGCTCTTCGTCCTCTTGGGGCTTCAGAATCAACCCTGAACCTCTAGGCCCCACCGAAAAGCCTTTGAACCCAAACCCCGAAACCCTAGAGGCCTAGGCGACAAAAATCTAAACCCGACCTCGTAGAGGTCGACGGCACTTGAGTTCTGCGAGGCCTTGTCGCCGGCGCTGCTCCTCCTTATATTCATGGAGTCATGCGTTGGATCCAAAGTTGGGGCTTAAGGCTTAGGACAAAAATGTGGGTGCCTGGTATCGACTCACTCTCGCACAAGGCAGGCAAGGCCTCGCAAGTGTGGCTAACAGCTAACACCTTTGAACAAGGGTTGGGTAGACAGTAGGGTTTAGGGTAGCCGGGTAGACACAAGAGTCCAGAGGAATCCAGCAACCAGCCCCCATCATCCATAGAACATTCCACCAACCAACCTATCATACCCAAAAACTCAGTCAATCATGTAGACACCCCCTTGTATAGGGTCTTAGAAGGGCATATGGTATACTGGGCTTGTTGAAGGAAATCTTCAGGGAAAGACCAAACGCAGCGAGGTGTCTGAACGTCCACCGTGTCCCGAAAGGCCGTGCAGCCGACGATGACGAGAAAGCCGAGAAAACGCATCATGAGCTCACGGCCCTAAGGCCGAGGAAAACGAAGTGAAGTCTCTGACAACGACACGCTCTGATACTTGAGCCCAGAAAGGCTGCAGAGGCAGCTTTCTCGGTCCAGGGTTCAGGGCATCTGGGGTCCTAGCACGCTAAACGTTGTAACACGCCATCATCTGCTGAGCAGCGACTATCGACTGAAACCCGAACGGCCGAATCCCAGAGACCACCGCCGAGAAGCTGAAAGATACCACAAGCCGACCACAACCCGTAGCTGCGCTGGGCGGATTGTGATCCGTTCAGGGTTGGAGGTTTACTGCTGAGGGGGACTCAAACCAAATCAAGCCGGCATGGTCCAGAACCCAACAACCGAACCCAAACCGAAAACCGGAAACCCTTGAACCTCAAATCCTCAAGACCCCTTTTTCAGCCCGGACTGAGGTGCAAACCCGAAACCGTCAAGCCCTAACTCTCAGCCCCCCTCAAATGTAGCTTGGTGCGTGCTGGTTTAAGGTCCGAAAACCTCTTAGCTTCCTACTTCCATTGCGGGGCCAACGCCGGAGCGGTTCACACACTACAAAGAAGAAGAGAAAACGAAACAGAAAGCGAGACAACTAAGTGGGCCAACCTACGCGCTCACGCCAGAACCCTCTCCTTCGCGTCTCCATCTTTGGGCGCATGGAGTATTTCGGGCTTCCTGTCCGCTGGCAATTCGCGCTCTTTGTTAAAGGAAACTACAGGTGGGGAGTTTAGGGTATATAGGGCTTCTATAAGGCTTCTATAACGGTATATATAAGGCTTCTATAACGGTATATAAACCTTCTTTAAGGCTCCTATAACGGTAACTACCCACCTGAAAATGTCCTAGACTTTCAGCTGCCGGCTGCATGGGGCCCCAGAGAGTAGAGATTTTTGTTGAAGGGTTTAGGGTTTAGGGTTTAGGGTTTAGGGTTTAGGGGTTTAGGGGTTTAGGGGTTTAGGGTTTAGGGTTTAGGGTTTAGGGTTTAGGGTTTAGGGTTTATGGCTTTGGGTTTTGGGTTTAGGGTTTAGGGGTTTAAGGTTTAGAGTTTAGGGTTTTAGGGTTTAGGGTTTAGGGTTTCAGCACTCACAACTGGGACAAGCCTGGCGAGGTTCCAAGTACATCGACGATAGCACATTGGCCAAGCAGGCATATTCACCACACCCAAACTCACACTCACACTCTAATTAAATCATCCCAACACAACTCGCACATCAAATGACCTCCTTCTGACTTTCACGATCCCGGTCTGACTTCCAAATTCGGAGCTTCCACTGCACATCGCCCTCGCCGAAGCATGCACATGCATCACAAGTCGGACGCATGGCATGCTTCAGCACAGTCATCGCAATCAGGTGTCTCTCTCTGGCAAACTGGGGCCATACTGCTCTTGCATGCCACGTCTCCAGCATCAAATTCAGAACTCGCTTGCGGTGTATACGTCGTCATGCATTCACCAGCAACCAGCAAAAACATGCAGTACATGCAGCAAACTCCCAGATGTATCATCAGATGTATCACGTCCCCAATATTGCCAGGGTAACGCCCAGGCTGTTTGGTGTACGTCATGCAGTGCATGCAACAAATTCTCGTCATTCCAGGCTTTGCATGCAGCAAATTCGCACTCATACTCAGCATCGTATGGGGGCCTCCGACAGCATGCCCAGGCTTCGTCTGTTGTCTGTGCCAGGGTCATCATCCCATTCTGTGCGTTCCCGTGCACCAGAGGGCATCGCAATCACGGTCCTGGCATGTGGTGGTGGCGCCCACGTCGTCTGTAAGTGCTGTCGCGCATTGCATGCAGCAAATTCCTTCTTGCAGTAGTTCATGACAGGTCTCGCCACTCAGGGTGCCATGGTACATCGTCATAGTTTTCCACACCATCACCCAAAGACGGTGTTCGCGCCTTTTGCAGAAGGCCTCGCAACCAGTTCAAGGATCCCAGAACGTCAGGACGCTTCGGACATCGTTATGGTATTCCGACGCCATCGCCCATCGTCAGCGTCCACGCCTTTTGCAGAAGGCTTCGCCTTGAATTCAAGTGTCCTGCGAAGGGTGCCATTGTACGTCATTATGGTACTCCAGCACCGTCACCCATAGTCATCGTCCAGGCCTTTTGCAGAAGGCTTCGCACCCAGCTCAGGTGTCCCAGAGATTCAGTTGCTTCCGTCAGGGTCCATGGCGCTGGCTCATGCGGGTTAGTGGTTTCTACAACCAGGGGTTCGGGAAGGTAGCTATTCTTATCGGAGGCGAGACGACGGCACGACATTTTGGCCCGTTCAGGGGGGGGGGGAAAGGGGGGGCCCCGTCTCAGCGAGAGGGCGAAGCCCGTACTTGCGTCTGGGTCGTTCTTCTGCCGCACTGGGTCCTGCACCGGAGGTAGGCACTACTGTCAAGTGCTAAAATGGTGTACAATCGATTCCCATAGCTAGGCTCGATGATGGAAGTTCGCTTTGACAAACACAGGACGCTTTGGCTTGGGGGCGAGGGGGCTTCAGATTGTGTGCGTTTGTTTCTGAAGTAGGGCGCTTCGAAGCCAAAAACCCTCACCCCAGAACCTGAAATCCGAAGGCCAGGAAGCAGCTACGACTGAATACTTTCAGGTCGCTGTTTCTGGCACAGGGGGGTTAGGCTGGGTGGTGTTCGAGCCTCGGGTCTTCAGCACGTGGTGTCACATGGAGCCTGACGGGGGCTACTACCAAAGTCAACCTGGGCCTCATGCCTTCAATCAAGGGCCACACAACCTAAACCTAAAACCTACATCCCTCGTTGAGCCAAGCGCGCGCCTGCCCTTCGTTTTGCGGCTTGTGCCGACCGTATGCCCTAGTGGCTTGTCATGGACCATTATGGCCATCTGTGCCGGCCTTATCACGCATTAAATTCTAAATTCTTGGTTGTCATGCCCGTGCATACATCGTGGTCACCACATCATTCACATGCATCATGCATCAAATTCATCATGGCAACATGCATTCAATTCAACACAAATTCATCATTATACATGCCCGGCCGCTACACCCCGCAATTGTGGCAAGGTTTGAGACGTGTGCAGCCTGGAATTCCAAAACATGCAGCGTCCATGACTTGTTGGTTGTGAGGTGGCTGGAAGCTCCTACAGAAAACACGACACAGAAAACAGGACACGACAGACGGGGAAAATAGGAGGTCAATATTAACTAAGAGGAGCAAGCACCCCAGATTTAGGACCTTACACGCCACCTCCCACAAGCTGAGCAATGACGCTTCTGGGGATGCAAAGAACTCTACCATCTGGCAGGGTCACTGGCGTCAAGGCCGGCATTTGTCTCGGCATCGACATCGGGAGTTGCGAGTCCAGGTGCAGCAAGGTTGGTCCCTGTGCGTGTTCCGCAGGCGAGGGCTGCGGAGGCGGTGTCCACGTGCCTTGTGGCTGTCCTTGCCCCCCTGAGTGGGGTGGCGAGCTGCCCCCGTCTCCATGGCTTGCCGGAGTCATTGCCTCCACAGCCTGCCGAAGCTGGTCCACATTGTGAAGCACCTCGTCGAGCTTGTCGCGTAGGATGACCAACCGGTCAGGCAGATGATCCGCAGACTTGTTGATCTGCCCCACTTCCTGCTGGACCCACGCCAAAAGATCCCGCGTCTCACGGTGTTCTTTAACCATCTTGTCGTAGGTCACATTGCAGATTTCACGCAGGACTTCGTTGAACTTATCCTGCACGACCGTTCCCAGTGCTCCGATGGACTTGCCCAGCTTGCCCGACTCCTTCTCGAGCCTGGCGATGCGCTCCGAGACGCAAGTCTGGATGTCGCCCCGGACTTTGTCCCCCAGCTTTTCCAGCTTGTTGGCGACTCCCTTCGCGATCTCTCCCAGTAGCGTCTTGGCCGTGGATTCCGTCTGGTTATTCACGTCCTTCTTGAGCTCCTTCAGGTAGAGATCTATGGCCTCCACCATTGCTTTGTGGAGGTTCATCGAGGTCTTGGTGAGCCCCGCATGCACTGCCTCCAGCCTGATGGCCATCTTTTCGGTCAGCAGCCCATTGGCCATGACTTTGTTGATCACGGCCTGAATTCTGGCTTGCAGGTCGCCGAAGCTCATGGCATCTCGCGTGGCCTCATGCTCGCATGCAACTTGGAGGCGAACTTCCACCATGAGCCCGAGGAGCTCTTGCAGAATGGACATGTGCTCTCGCTCTGCCTTGGTCGCCGGTCCGGAGCGGCTGTAACACCACAGCCACATTGAGGCGGCCACGACCACCATCGTTATGGCCACCTTTGTGTCACATGCGCCCATGGCAAAGCCCGCGAGCACCTCAAGGACATCCCAGAGAAGGGCCATCATAACCACACAGGGGACGGCTAGCTTGCAACCTGAAAGGGCACAGGCCTGTAGCAAAAAGGTGCTGCGCTGTGTTAATTCAGCTCTCTTACCACTATCTACTTTCTGGTCTGGGACAGAAACATGCTAGACTGTGTAGCAGGTCTGGTACACAACTAGCCCTTGCACTCAACGGCTCCACGGGTCCTGCAGCATCGCACTGTGTTGCACACAAAAGCACTTGTCACGAAGCGAGCGGCAGCGGGAGTGTTCATGCATGCTGGAAAAAAACTCGAGCACCATGCAACTGACAAATTATACTTCCATGCACTATGTAATGCAGTACTTGCACAACAAATTCTTGCAAAACAAATTCTCCACCTCCGAATTCTCAAATGACTTGCATCTCAGACCCTTCCTCCGCCCAGGGGGTGGAGGTGGCGCCGGCAAAGTGCCCGCGCGCCGCCCCACTCCTGTCGTCCTCGCGCTGCAGCCAGGTGTGTTTGCGTACGTCGACCCGAAGGCCACACACCGCGGTACGGCACGCTGCAGTTCGCGAGGCTCGCGCGCGCGACGCGCAATTCCTCACGGTGAACCAGAAGACTATACTCCGGCTCGGTGGTGGAAGGGGTGGGCGCGCGTGGAAGCGTGACCCAGATACGGGGCCTGTCGCCTCCGATGGGCGCGGCACCTGCGACGACGCTCA